TCCATGTATTATTGTAGAAGGATTGACTAGCCTTCGTTCGTGCAATCATATAGTCTGCAAATAACTATTATCTTATTAATCTTAATTTTTTTCTAAACACTTCCGGTGGCGCAATTTTTACTCCAAAAGCTCGTGCGTAGGCTTCCATTAAATACTGATTGTCTCGAAAACGAGCTCGGGACACCCTATTTTYCTTTCCAGATTTGGAATCAGCATTAAATTTCAATTTGGAAAATCGAAGTTTTAAAAAAAGCTTAAATCAATTTCCAAAAGTAGGCAGTCACCTTAACCAATCAGACAACTCCACGAAGATTACCACTGTCCAATCACAGAACTTTAATCCACGAAAATCCATTTGAGAGTAAAGAGTGGTACGTTTCCTGGCTACTCGTACAAACCTTCTCTATCGCTCCACTTAGTAATCTGTAAATTAGAGTATAGACTGAACCCCTTAAAGCACTATCACCACTTGAAAGACTTAATGATTTAAACAGGCGAGTTTACTAGTAAATAGTTTCTAAGAAACGAGTGGTTATCGAGTTAAACCTGAAATGGAGTGGGCTCTTCTGAGACATGATCTTTGAAAATCAAAGCTTTTAAACAAAATCTCTCTTTCGCTACCCGTTTATGTTTTTAATTTCGCTTTATTTTTTYCCTTGAAATAAAGGGTAGCGATTCTATATAAATGTGTCATTTAGTTTGATATCCTTTTATACATTTTTGTAAATCGAACATCCATGGCCATAGATGATCAAGTTAGACTAATATTCAAACGTCGAGCTTCATATGAACCGAACCCAATGGCACATGTGAAGTTCGACGATTGACCTGAGCCTTAGCGCGCTTTAACGCGCCCGTCTTGCATTTTGTACTTGTTTTCATACATCAAAGACGCGGCGTTTGGTATGTTYGATATCTATGATTGAAGATGTACTATTGTCAGCGTGAAACATTTGACTTCTGTTTGTCGTGGGCTCGTAGCAATGAAAACGGAGGAGAATCTGTAGCTTCTTTATCTTTACGTTGCACTACTCTTTTTTACCAATCGCTTTATTCACTTGTTGTACTAACAATTTTACTTAAAAGATTCAAGACAGCACCTTTCAGTTAACGCGGTACCCCTCACGCGTTAATTAAACACACRATAATAGATATTTTCCGAGATGCGCGAGCGCGGACAAAAGATGAAGACGAGGCATTTTCGGGCAAGATTTTACGCGCACTTTGACAAACAGATACAAAATTTTGAAATCATGTTAATAAAGGAATAATTTGAGGCTTCTTTTAGTTTGGGAGCAGGATTATGACTTTTGAAAAAAAGGATGTTTTCAGTAAAAATCTTTTTTAGACGCTCCCCACACTGAGTATGCCCGAAAATGCCTCGTTTCCACGTCTGCGCCTGCGATTTTTATAACTGGACCCAGGCTATACCAACGCGAGCGTTTAACAGAATTCACTTTTCTAAGAAATTCAAATTTTATCCTCCTGAAAGTTGTCCTGAAAGTTGTCCTGAAAGTTGTCCTGAAAGTTATAGTTATTATCTCGATCGCGTGAGTTCAGTTTATCCGAGCTTACCTAGACCATTGTTAAAAATCAATCAACTTCATTGGCCGCAGCAGTCATGCAGAAATGTTGAATTATTAATAAGCATTTTGAAGAGTAATTCACCTGTGTGTCTGCACTTGATATTTCGATCGAGTCAAACTCCAGCAGGATTATTTACTGCTAGAAATCCAAGGTAGGTCTTAAAACTATTCATTTAAGCTGCACAATAAGGTATATTCTTGATTAAGAATCTCGATACCATCGATAGAAATTCAATTGAGTTTGATTAATACAAAATTGGCGTCCTAATAAGTAAAATTGCCGCGATGCAGCGACTCACTTGTCTTCACTAGCTAAGCTTTTGTCTAAATGTTATTACAGAGCTTATTTATGCTGTTTGTATATCAGGTCCTATTCTTTTGTGACAAAAGCTGAACCAAATAGCTTCAAACATTTCGTTTACAACCTCATTCACAAGTMAACTGAAGTCTCCATAGCACAAGCTAACAGGCTTGTCACTGCCCTTGCATTAAAACTATAAATAAATAAGCCACCCATCCCAAATTAAGTACTCAAGAAAGACTTACTTATATTTGCCCAAAACCTAACATATTGTATTAAAATAAATAATTTGCTTTAGTTTATTTTTTTAAGTGATTGTAATTGTTTGAGCAACTTACAACTGGGCCTGGGTTATTAGACAGTGGARTTCAATGAGGACACAAAAATCAATCATTCACAATATTCTCGCACATTTCAAGAGAAGAATCACACCTACAAATTAGAAACAGAAATAAAAAGAGCATTTCGGCATTAGTAGGGAGGTAGAGTTTCAGCACATAATAAGTGAAACAGGAGAAATGACAGATAAGGAAGATAAGGAATTGGGTGTTTTATGAGGATTTGTATGGTAAGATGCGCTGGATGACAAAAGCTTGCCAGCCGACCCTTTTTCCATATGAATCCTTGTAAAATATTTGATTTTATATTTGATGTCATTTCTTCTATTAGTCAACATTTTGAGCTGAAACTTGGCCCTTTTACTAAATTTGAGGTAATCTTTTCATTTCTGGAGTTCATTTTGACTAATTTGCTCATTTTAAGGGGGATGGGGTCRKGTGACCTTTTAAAGCAAGTCATCTATTCATGAGTCACACTCTACATTTTGCTTTTTTCACATATCACRCAACAATTTTAGCCAGAATGATGCATCATGTGTAGCTCCTGCATGTGCAACCCTGTAGAAATGTATAAGTATTTTTTCTTGGTGTAACTATACTGAAAAAATGAACAAGGTGGAAAATTGCAATGCAAAATGCTTTTGTTACAAAAAACAATATAGTGTTTAATTATTATTGTGCTCATTGGAAGAACATGTCAAAAGTTTTTTAAAAAATGATGTTTTTCCAGCAAAATCCCTCATGGTAAAGCGAGATAAAGCAGATGGTTAGGATAGGGATAGGGTAGGCAATATAGCCTCAGCTTCTTAGTATCATATTTTTTTGAGGAGAAGTGTTGTGTATCTTAGTCTAATATTTCTAAAAGCGCCATCCTTGAACACGAATATAGACATGAATTGAATATAATAATTGAATTATTGAATATAAGTCCAGATACCAGTAATTAACACTTACACTAAACATGTAAAAAGGTATTGATAAAAACCAAATATTTATTTTAGAGGCCACCTCCTTCTTATTCACTACCTTTTTATTTGATCCCATGTATGTAATGTAATGTGAAATATCGCCCCCGAAAGTAAATTGCCCATTTCAAGCCACGCGATGTTTCCTGGAGAAATGTTTCGTTATCTTTCTGAAATGTATTCATTCAAATTCATGTGAATATGAAAACATAAAGAAACATTTCTCCAGAGAACATTGTGTCAACATCACATGGTTTGAAATGGGCAATTTACATGCAAGGGTGATAAAGTCTATTTTAATGGAAAATGAGGAGAGTCAGATGCCAACTTATATACTGCAAGCCGTAACTTTTGCAATCCCATTTAAGTAATATCTCAAACACGTGAAAGAGTGTCTAATCTGATTTCCAAACACCAAGAATTGAGCTGAAAAAATGAGGTTGAGCCAAGTTTTTTCACCAACTTTGGATAGAGGATGAAACACTCTTTCAAGTGCTTGATATGGCTTCTCAAACTATTAATAACTCTTGGAGAAATTCAAAGCTTAAGTTGCCCAAATGTTATGCTAACTATGATCACATTTACAAACCACCTTCACACTTGTCTAGTGATTTTCGCATGAATTATTAATACATTTTAGAAGATATATATATGAATATGTTCCTGGACTTCCATGCACAACCAAGATATTTGTTCTTTCTTTTATTGTTTTCAACTTTAACTGTAATGAACCTTTCAAACTTAATTAACTTGAATCRAAATACTGTACATCTTGAAAGAAAACAAAACAAATTGGGTGCTATTTATCATTAATCAAGAAAGCCATGACAATACCATGTAGGCATCTGGAATTGGTTTTTATTTTGATTGCATCATTACATTAGATTTTTCTTGAAAATATACAATGTATTGAAATACATGACTTTATTTTCTGGTTTAATTCAATGCTATTTTAAGTATATATACATAAATTTTGGCATCTACGTTAGCTCAGTATACTCAAATATACCTTAAAAATTTAACCAGCAGTGACAGGTAAAAAAAACCTCTTTTTGAGGTTGTTTTTTTTTTTTGGATATTGTTTTTTAAAATCCATAAGCCTGAGTAAATTTTGTATAATACAAATTGGCATTCGTAATTGGAATGGTCACGGAAGAAGAAGATTATGATAATTTAAAGATAATATGCCGCGAGAAACCTCTGGTCACGACCGTTGAGAACCTCACTTTCATGCCATCAACTTATGATCGTCGAATTCTGATTGGATGGATATTTTAATCACTGTACGAGGAATATGATTGGCTGGATTAGATATCTATGGGGGTAGGGGCTGAATGATTTTGTCACATCAACATTTTTATTCGGGGGTAGGGGTTAGACTTTTTGTGCCATCAAGACATATGGTCATATAGCGTTATTATTATTACTTTTATTATTATTATTATTTATCATTATCATTATTATTATTATTACTATTATTATTATCATCATTATTAGTATATGTAATAGGACTCCATGCTGTCCAACTAAAAAATAATTGGACGTGGAAAATTCCGAGGACTTTCAAAATTGGTTGAGGCCATAGGCCAAGTCCAATTTGGCAGTCAGAGGAATTTTTCGAGTCTAATTATTTCTTGATTGGGGAGCATGAAATCCCATTATCTATTAATTATATAGCTGCTTAATTAGTCCCACATCAACAAGACCTGTTCAATTAAGAAAATAATTGAATTGGACAGTTACCTATATGGGATTAATGAGAAGCTGTATAATAATAATAATAATAATTATTATTATTATTATTAATTATTATTATTGTTATTTATGATAATTATAATTTTGAAAAATAACAAGATACTTGGGGCATCGCACCAAATAGCAATATCATCATCACTGAACACCCTCATCAACACAGTGTGGTTAGAACATTACCGGAAACTTGTATCGATGACATTATAAGACAGGTTTATGACAGGCGGTTGGCATGTTTTAACACTATGTATTCATACAATTATAAGAAATATCAAAAAGATTAAAAACTTGGTGAYAACCTTTCAACCTTTCAGTCTAAAATATGCATTTGAGATTCAGATGGCTTTAGGGATTTTGGTGTGATTAATAAACGTGTCAGTTATTCTGTAAATTTAATTCCTTCATGTTTTTCCATCAGGTGAGGTTCATAAAGTTTCCTTTTCGCCATGAAGCGCACATGTCTTACAGTGACAGTCCTAACTATCATAGCAATGATAGCTACTAAAGGGATGGTTCAAGGAAGCTTTCAAGTYGACTGTGACTTCGGCTCGGCAAGCCAGGATARCCTAAGTTACACAGCTATCGGTAACTTGACGTCTCATTTTGGTGAYGCTCGGAGTTGTCACATTGAACATGATGCTTCTTCGGGCATTCTACGTGTGCGATTGTCCAGACACAACCAAAATATCAGCGTGATATACGCTATGGTGATGGAGAAGAAGGAGATAACGTTCGTAGGTACTGCCCGCTACGTCGACCTGATGCTTGGCCAAGGCTATCATTTCCATTCCTGCCCGGAACTGAGAACCGACCRGGTACAAATACGAAACACTRAATTGGACCTGTTAATGTTCGGTGCTCCTCAAAATGTGACCTTTAAGTTGGAAGTTAATTTAGACAACACTTATATGAGCCCCGGGGAGACCAAATCCATTAATTTGYTAAAGAATGGTCTAAGCGAGGTTTTGGCGTTCGATGTTTTGGAGAAAGACTTRTTCAAACTGTTTCAAATCACTGTAACTTCGGACGATGATACTGTATCGTATCTCCTCGTGTCGAAAAGCTGCTCCGACGTCCAGMAAGTCGGCCTAGGGATCACTACAMAGYCCATGATGACGAGRAAAGATCTGAAGTTGTCGTTCACCAAGTCTGGTAGAATAACTCTATCGCAGTATTCCTCGCCCAAAATCGAGAAGGGTCGTTGGTATATTGGCGTAGTGGTGAAAGAGGGCTCTGTCGATGCCATYGAGGAGAAGGCAGTTARTGTCAGTATCACTCAAACCTACAGTTATGATAMAATTGGCAAAGGTTTGCCAGTCCTTTACATGTGTTTAATCACTGGAATCCTTGGACTGCTAGTCGCCGTGTTCGCGCATTTTTTCTTGAATTCTGACTTTGAGGAAATGTCGCRTCCGTTTTACGTGGAAGACGAGGTGTTAGAGCASGATAAGGAGACKTCCTCTAATTTACGCAAGTTTCCAGACAAGACAATACTGAATTTCATTCCTCCGCCTATTCCCCGCGGGAGCTTTCCTTTTAAGACTTGGGTCAAGGTAGTCGTTGTTCATTGGTTTGGGCGAGGCACCAAGACCTATTCCTACTTAACGGTCGTATTGGCTGTAAGCTTTCTGGTTGGATCAGCTCAGTTTGTYATTGGTCGCTGGGCAAACATGRTCGAGACAGGCGACCGCGACAAATGTTACTACAACGAGCTTTGTTATCGCCCTATCGCGGTGGCCGACCTGCCTTCTAATTTTCTTATCAGTAACGTACCTTACTGCTTGCACGGTGTCATCCTTGCACTTTCGTTTTCATTCCGCGAAGCCGTGAAMCTTAACTAYCGGAAYAACCAAGCAAGCTTCAATAGCCAAGGCAACCTGTTCGTACCGTACGACTTCTCCCTGGCTTATGCATTAGCGTGGGCCTTGGTCTTCSAAGGGCTTTTCTCTGCAACCTACCACATATGTCCCTCCAGGTTGACATTCCAGTTCGATTCTGCCTTCATGTTTATCATTTCAGGCCTSGTGGTCATTGCGCTGTTCAACGCGCGGATCGACAAGATCWGCAGCAACAAAGAACGAGATCCAAGCGAAACCATTGTCCAAGCACCGAAGTACTTCCTCTTCTTCGTTGCGCCTTTGTTAGTCCTGAACTACATTGGCTCCATTCGCGACACTGAGGGCCTTCCTAAGTTTGTCGAAGTGTGTTACTGGCTTGTCCTGGTAATTTGGTTGGTTGTCATCTACTTGTGGGCCTTTAGAAAAGTGGGGATATCTTGTACGAGTGGTCCAGGTTTGATGAACCGGTTAGGTTGTGCCACCGCTGAAGACRGAGTAAAGTGGTTATGGATGATCTTGGTACCAATCTGCTTGCTCATTATTGGGATTTCCAAGTGGAGTGACTGGTCACAGTTCTTCTTGTTCTCATGTGTGGCAGCAGTAGTCCTTACCATCGGTGGTCTGATCTCTTTTAATTTGGTCACCTCGTTAAGGCACCTCAAGTACCAGTCTACCTACCACTCTCTCAACAACTCTGCTCAGCCCTTGTGCGATATTAAAGGAATGTGTCTTGCGCTCGTCAGAAACTTTCACCGCATTCTTTTCATCGTGGTTCTTTTTCTTTTCTGGGTCTTTGCTATGTATTTCTTCAAGCTGAAGCCTACCGCAAAGAAGACAGCGTCGCCTAGCGARTCCCGCACCCACAACGACGAGTGCGCTTTGTGGGATTTCTTCGATTACCATGACATCTGGCACATGTTGTCCTCTGTGGCTCTTCTCATGAGCGCCTTCTTGCTGATCTACATCACCAGGAGCGTGGAGAGGTACTTCTGGGTAGAYGCCAATTACTGGTACAACAAGATGAAAGACCAGAGTAAAATCACAGTCAACCAAAATGTGAGCACTCGGTCCCTGGACATGGAAGGGCGTGAAAACATCGAGATGGATGATCGGCGTTCTGAGAATGGCGCACCGCCTGCAGCGGACGAAGGTAAGATTAGCCTAAGGAAAGACAACCAAACCAGCACAGTTCGCGATAATTTCAGTAAACGAACTTCAAGAAAGCATTCTAGAGTGGAATCTCTCGTATAGTGTGCTTGCCGCCAAGACAGTTAAACGYGATCGGAACATTAATATATACTGAATTAGCAAATTGAAAAAACTTCTTTACATTCGTTGTTTGTTGTGCAAATTTCAGACCATGTGATGCCACTCTTGGGAGTTGATTCTTTCATGTGTAAATATTTCAACAAGTTCGTCATAAAATTCTCACAATTCTCAGGGGAATGTCACGTGGTCTGAAATGGGTAATTTGCATACGAAGGTGAAGAGGTCTGTTATCCTGAAATGGTCTTAAAGTAACGAAGTAAAGCTCGCATAAACTGCTGATTCACTATCGTCGCTTATAAATATCTTACCCATAATATTAAACTTTATAATTTAGAACCAAAGCATACAAATAAATGATAGTAGTAATAGTAAATAATAGTAAATAAATAGTAGTAAATAGTAGTATCATTAAGATGACCTGTAAAGTAATAATAATATTTTAAAAGACATTTTTACATAATGTAACTATGATACACCTAACATTGATTTAAAGTTTTTTGTATTTTAATAATATTTGGCTCATATTTAAATTTTTTATATTTGTCATAAATTCTTTGTATTTTTTTATGTTCTAGTAAGTTGTTTATATCAATGTAACACAGGTAATTCAWTACTTTGTTCAATACATCATTCAGTAATGCATGAATAATTATAAAAAAAATTTAAAATCAACAAATTGACAAATTAATAAATTACGTCATCACATTGTCAAAGTAGTGTGGATCCACGAGGCGTAGCGCGCGAGAAATTTGTAAGTTATTGTAAAATGTATGTTTGTGACTGTGTTTAGTATTGTTTTAATTGTTTTATAGATGGCTTGGTACCACRTGAAGATGATACCCCTATATTGCTGTAGACTAAAAGGACAAAATGGTAAAATAATTTGATTGGCCAAGGACAGCCTCGGGATTGAAATGATTTGATTGGCAGGGGGGGGGGGAAATGATCTGATTGGATGGGGTTAGAATGCTAATTATTATGGTTCCTTCCTGATTGGCTCTAATTTTCATTGTACTTCGTGATGAAAGGTGAAAATGGGGATTGAAATGAATTGACTGGCAGGGTGGGAAATGATCTGATTGGATGAGGTTAGAATGCTAATTATTATGGTTCCTTCCTGATTGGCTCTAATTTTCATTGTTCTTCGTGATTGTTTAATTTTGTAAGGATGCCTCTTAGGTGTCCAGTCCTGTGTGCGCTTCTTTTTTGTCTGTGTTTTGTGCGCTTCCGCTTTTTTGTCTGTGTTTTTGGTATAGTGGTAGTGTGTAACGTGCAATTCACTAAATCAGTGACTAATAGCAATCAAAATACTTTACATAGCAAACACTTAATACCACAATATCATACTCTATCCTACTAATAGTAGATTGCTAACCATACCTCACTAATACTATACGACATAACAAGCCAGTTAATATCATACTC